CCTCTACTTGAGTTTAATCGACAGTATAACCAGATGGATCATGCTCAAAATATGAGTCTGGGACGCCATCGTTTTCATTGAGAGCGTCTGTTGTTAAATTTATGACTGCGAGAAGCATTAGTTTACCAGACAGTGTTAGGCTATTAATTAACACAGTGTTAAAGGGCGGTTCTCTATTTTACAAAACTGAATATTTAAAAATAGATAAATAAAAATGTTGTTTTTATAATAACATATTTTTGTCGTATTGTCAAAACAAAATAGTTTTACTGGTCAACGGAAGATTTTATATTTGATATTTTATATAGTTTGTAGTTTATCTTGACATTTTTTAAAAAAGTTTAAATTTGAAAGTATTAGTTTTAATTACATTCCTAATAAATCCGTATTTTATAAGTTGAATATGTAGTCAATAGATTATAGTAAATAATCCTAGCTTCTTTGGCTTAGGACTTTACTATTAATAAAAGAGATGTCTAAAGTAATAAAATAATGCACACGACAGTCATTTTAGGTACGGCACGCTTAAATTTTGGCACGCGGACCCACGCTTTTTGGTCCGCCTGTTGCGTTTACACGACGAAAGTTTTGTTCTAAAATTTTTGGGTTCGGCACGCTTAAACTGGGAACGGCACTCTTACATTCAGAGTCAAAACCTTGACTTCACACGAAATATCTGATCTATTCAGCTATAACTTTTTGGTGTATTAAACTTTATTCCGAGCCGTTAAATTTACATTTCATTTTTACGAATTTTCTCAGCTTTCTCCCGAGTAAAATAAGCAGAAACTATATTTTCATTGAGATAGTTTAAGTTTTCGAAAATTTGTTTTCGAAAATTTGTAATTAATATTGAAAATTTCGAATATTTCCATTTCTCTGCTTAGACCAGATAATTATTAACATTTTCGTAAAAAATACAAAGTTAGTGTAGGCCCTATTTCCATGGCCATGCATGTATTTTTTCAACTATATATTAAAGTTTACTTTAGAAACTCATATAAACCTAGCAAAATACTTGTTGGTGCTTGAAAAGCCATTATATAAATGTGTTTTAATTTTCTAAGCTAGATATTTCATTGACCTTCATGGGGGATAAACAACTTTGTCATAAAGCAATAAAGTCATATAATAAAAATATAGGATGCCATTTTGAAAGCGTGGCGAACAAGAAATACTGCGTCTTTTAATTGGCAACACTAAAACATGCAGTAACCTCGTATATATAAACTGGCTGACAAGCAGTGACAACTGATACTTAAACTGATATTTAGATATTATGTTTTATTTCGTTGAAAATTTATACTACATCAATGATTCGCTGCAGGCTCACTGCATGATTATGGTGAATATTGACCAGGACTGTTATAAGATAGCACTTCGCCCTCGGTGAATGATTGTTAATTACGAACTGATAACAATAATCTTCACCATCGCATATATTAGCATTGCTTAAATACAGTTCCTTTTCTCTTCGCTTTGCTGTGGGCTTTGACTTGAGTGTAGCAAGATTACCAGTTGAATAGCATCTTTTTTTCTTTTTTTTTTGTATAAACATATATTTTTCAAAAAGACGTTTACCCAAGAGCTATCAAGCTCATCGAGGGGCTTACGTCACTATTTACATAATATTTAAAAATAAAAATAAAATAGAGTAGATAAAACAAGGACAAACAAATTACTGGATCGTTTGGAGGATTCCCTCATAGAGCTTAACGAAAACGTTCAGATTCTTTATTAATGAATTGTTGGACAAAATTGAAAATTTTTTTGTTATCATCTATATTTAGATTAACATCGCCAAACAAAAACATCTTTAATTTTTGAGACTCCGACAAAAGATTCCAGCTATCGCCACAAACTTGTACAGCAGCCGAGAGTAAGGAAATCCTCAGGGCAGAATATCGGGGACACTTTAGCAAATAATGCATGACCTTAATATATATCGGAGCTCTTGTATATGGCTTCGTCTGACCACATTTTCCCTCGATCTTTTGTTTGTACAGACACAATATTTTTGCAATGTGAGAAACAAAACGCGTGCGTAACAAGTTTTTGGTCCGCGGACCCATTTTTAGGCGGGCCGAGACTACCTCCTGAGGAGGTCTCGGCCCGCTTAAAATTTTGGGCCCGCGGACCTTTAATTTTGCGTTTACACGACAAAAATTAAGAGTGTCGTGACCAAAAAAATGGGTCCGCGTGCCAAAATTTAAGCGTGCCGTGCCCAAAATGACTGTCGTGTAAACGGGGCTTAAGTTAGTATAAACATGAAATCAACAACATTAAATAGGGAACTTTAGAACTGATTCGCTAGGGCTACGAATTAAATCTGGTACGACTACGAGATTTTTTCGGTTAAATTAAATATCTGCTACTACAGACTTTCTATCGCCCTTTCTTTTGCATACCCTTTCTTTATGGCCTCTTTATAGCAACAGTTACGCCAAACCATGTACTATTATAATACAGTAGACACCGCCTATGATAGAAACGACATGAAAGTCGATACTAAAGTGACGAAAAACTGTATATTTCTACTTCCAAAGCAAAAATATTTTGCACTGGCACTTCAGGTAAAGCGAAAAGTACAAGGTGTGTATGATTTCGCACAAATAAACCGTAAACAAACATCAAACTATCAAACTAACTCACAGGAAGCTCTTAATCATAATACTATTTACTCGCTGGGGCACCTGTGCCCCAGACGAGTATAGGTTTCGGCATTCATTTTTAGTGGTCGGCAATCTCCAATCGTCGTCGATAGCCACAAAATAGAATATTAATTAATGAGCTGCCTAATTTCCCCCCAATTATCCATAAGGCTCCTGCCAATTTTACCCAAATTATCCGTAAATAGCCCTCCATTTTGAGGAAAATTCGGGGAAATTGAACAATTTTACAAGGAATTTCGCATGGAAACAGCAACCTACGCAAATATCAAGTTTATAAAAGTTTATACGTTTGACCGTTTGACTGCGGTTTTTTACATTTTGAGAAGAAAGCAACACCGTTCGATTCAGCGTAAGAAATTGTACTTACGAATGTCAAGTGTATTACTAAATACCCGTATTCTAGCGATTTATGGCCTTTGAAAATGAAGCGAAATTGTATTGTTGAAATATCGCTAGTCGCAGTACGTATATATTGTTGATCACAAATCACTCGCACTACGTTTGTCCACAGGTTTGTCCTTGTATTTGTAATGCCTAATGGCGCAATAGGGATAAAAATACCACCGTTCGATTCAGCGTAAGAAATTGCACTTACGGATGTCAAATGTGTTACTATAAAGCACCAGTATCGTAGCGATTTATGGCCTTTGAAAATGAAGCGAAATTGTATTGTTGAAAAATCGCTCGCAGTCAACGCAGTGCGTTTCATATAGTGTTTTGTAATGCCTAATGGCCCAATAAGGATAAAAATACCACCGTTCGATTCAGCGTTACAAATTGTACTAATTACGAATGTCAAGTGTATTACTAAACAACGGTGTTCTAGCGATTTATGGCCTTTGTCTTTGAAAGCCAAGCGAAATTGTAATGTTGCCAATCGCTCAATATTATTAAACTAATTATAAAAAAAATGCAGTACGTTTGACGCTTGATAACTTTGGCATCATTGGCTTTCTCTTTTTCGGCCGTATACCAGTGGATTCGTCTCACCCTCCGCTTCATTTTGATAGTATTTTGAGCCGAAAAGCAAAAAAAAATTTGATTTTGAACGTTTTAAAGCGCGGTTTAATCCTAGACTAACTAGCGACTGACAGTTTTGAAGAAGAATGTAGCGTACTAAATATAACTTTACTTGTAGGGCCTACCGCATTTTAGTACTGTGTTATTAGCCTTTCGCGCTCGTATTCGACTTTTCCGCTTAGCTCGGGGAAAACCTTAAATGTAATGTAATGTAATGTAATGTAAAACTTTATTTCAATACGCTAACTTCGACAATTATTTACAACTGGTTTCCACGAAGGGCGTATACACACAAAGAGCTAAATGTTAATTAATATAGAACAAAATATGTAAGAATCCCACCCTAAAATATTATCATCTTCCTCCCAAATCTCCACCCCCTAAACAAGTACCCACCCACCCTCACGCAAAATTAACTCCCCTCCCGCCCACAATCTATATTGTCCTCCCATCATTTGGTCCTGGAGAAATTAGCTTATCATCTGCTTAAATGCAATTTCGCCATTGTTTTAAATGACGTAATTGACTCAGCCGCCTTGACATCTTGCGGCAGACTATTCCATAGAATTGCTCCACTGTATCCAAATTTTTTCTTTAGAAATTCCGTTTTCGGTTTTTTTAACGAGAGATCAGTTTCGCTATTGCGTAAATCATAAATATTCTGCGATGCATTTCTCCGAGAAAAAAGATCTTTTAGGTTTGGCGCAGTGTGGTTCCCCAAGACTTTATACATCAATACTAGCTTGTTTTGTTCTCGTCTCCTAGCCAGGGTTTCCCAGCCTAATTTGTTTAGGACTTCAGACGATCTTACATCGTAGTCAGCTCCGGTAATCACCCTTGCTGCTCGATTTTGGAATTTTTGCAATTTGTCTTGAAGTCCCAAACCACAGTTAGCTCAATTGAAAGAGCTGTGTACTGTATGTATCATGTACATTGTACAGTATGTGCGTAGTTGTATAGCCCCAGCGAGTTAACGCTCCACAGAGCGTCTTGTTATATTAAATGGTGCCAATGTTTTGTCTGAGTCTTCGCGGGGGGGTCGAATTTTCGTGACGTCAATTGCGGACAACGCTATTAAAGGCTATGTTTACATTGTATTAGCCTCCGTAACGCAGACCGTGTTTCGCTCCCCCGAGACGAAACACAGTCTGCGAACCCGAGAGAGAATTCTATTTCACCAATCAGAAATCGCCTACAGAAAATGGTAAAATAGCCCGCGGGACACTTACGTGGCAATTATACGGCATCGCGGGACGGACGCGCGAATTATATCACATCTGATTATCACAATATTATATTAAAAGCGATATGGAGGCTGTGTTTGAAAAAGTTTGCAAGGTTTTTGGTTTTCAAAGATTGAATAAATTCCAAATTGAGGCGATTACACATATTTTAGAGAAAGGGATTGATATTTTTGTCAATCTTCCAACGGGATATGGCAAATCTGTACTAATCGATCGTTCTTGTAGTCTCACTGTCTCACAAGAGGTCTCACTACTTTAATAATATAAGTCTTATGAAAGATCAGGTTGGCAAGGTTGCACGCTTGAATTCATGCAGTATATCTTCTATATTATTGAATGAAATTGCGCCAGAACGGTAAATCCAGTTTTGATTTTACAAAGACTTTTGTTTTGTCAATTATTTCTTTCTTACAAATGAAACAATTATGATGTGGATGTAATATTTTTGTTGGAGTTTCCATCTGATCTTTTACTTAATGATGTATAACCAGTGATAAATATGGCCCTTTCTTAGGGAAAGTACATTTATTATGCCGAGGGGGGGGGATGAAGATGTTAAGGGGGGCTCCGAAATATTTTCTGGCATTAAAGGGGGGGCTCTGAAAGTTCTTGATATACTGAAGGGGGGCTCTAAACTTTTCAAAGGTTTAACCCCAGCAAATTAAAGTTAAAATTTTTACATCAGTTTCAGGTAAAATTCGCGTAATAAAGTAATTATTTTTGTGAAATGATAACCATTTTTGTAAAATACAGTCAATTTACATGCAATTTGTTTGCGAAATTTGCTTTAGAAAACGCCAGAAATTCAGTCCTAGAGCTTCGAAAATGTAAAAATTTTCTGGGGGAGGACCCCAGACCCCCCTTTTCTCCCAAAACTTAGTATAAGAGTGCCAATCAATCACAAAAAGCTTTATTATAATTATTACACGTATAATCCTCTGACATCCCCCACCCCCCAAACGTCAGATGCTTTGCTACGTCCCTGATGGTTGTATTCGAAACCGATTTCAGTTTTAAGATATCCTTAGTCTGCTCTTCTAAATGGATACATGAAATCACCTATAGCTTATTTAAAATTTTTTTGCGCCAGGTTTGTGAAGTAATTTACGCACCAAAAAGCAAAAAAGCATATACAATTTGCAAGAATGATATGTTCTATGTTTATGGGATATTTCGTACAAACGGGATGGAAATTAAAGAAATTGAAGCATACTGGCACTTTTGCATGCATTTTTGACAGGCATGCAAAGACATTTGCAACAGATGCCGGGAGATACGTTGGGTGGGGGCAACATACTGTAAGGTTCCAGCACATTACCCTGATCCAGGAATCCACTACATGAACGTGTTCAAGACTCCGAATACGCAGAATGATGGACAACAACAACCTGTTGATAATTCCACCCCTAGAGCCAATTTAAAATGTTTTAAAGACGGTGCCATTTCATCTGGCGCTAGTGAGATGAAAGAAGCAGCAGATCGGTAGTTTTGTTGAGGAGAAGCACTTGAGTATATCAGACATCTTGAGGAACTGCAAATTGTATCTATGATAAGAGAGAATTCCGGATTGTACTCCTTCGATTCCGAACTCTAGAGGGGGGCATTGAAAATTTTAAAAACTTGGAGGGGGGGCATCGAAATTTACCGATAACTTCAACAGGGGCCCTGTAAAAATATGAGCTTTTTTCAAGACATCTTCATCCCCCTCCCTCGGTGTAATAAATGTACTTTCCCTTATGTCTGTTATAAATATCATACCTATTTTTAGATTGTTATTTATTGTATGCAGAAAATCACACGCTATAGTTCACACCCAACTTTAATTAAATTTTAAAAAATTATACAGTACAAATAGTATTGACTATTGCCAAAGTAATACAATTTAATATTAATAGCTCATTGTCAAATAATCTATTTATTTGTATTTTCATGTTTAAAACATCAGTTAGGGCGTGCAAAAGAAGGCCATGCAGAAATATAATTACAAAATTATAAACACCCAGAATTTATCTATATAGAAAGTTAGAAACCTCAGTTAGTTTATGGACTGGGCCTGCTCAGTACAAATATGGTGTGCCATATTGGTCTTATGATTAGCATCCAAAGTCACAGTATTTGAATATGAGACAACACAATTGGGAATAACTAATAAGTTTTGCACGTATCAAATTATCAATGCTATTGCAACACAGGATGGATCCAGCTTGATCTGGCCTAGGGGGGGGGGGGGTTGCTCTGGTGCTGAGCTGTGTCAGTCATCTTGTTCACAGTTCGCTTATCATGTTATTACTCAAATTACTGTACATATCTCATTTTGCCTCTAATAATTTTTTGCTTTATCATGAAAAATATCACCCCTCCTGGCCAGGGCTAGGGGGTGCATGCAACATAAAGATAGGTGCATGAGCGTACGGGCCTAATCTTGTTTGGAGGGGGGGCACAGTATTAGTTTGCCCGACCGCTTTGCTTACACAGTACACATATACAACTTTGTTCGAGATTTTATCAGGGCCTTTTTAAGGATTTTCCCGTAAGGGGGGAGGGGGGAATTCTTTGAAAAGGGACCTTACTGTGAGATCATATATTAGTGGGGATAGCCATGTGGCCGACATACCAGTTGTGAATCCCTAGGGGGGTCTGGGGGCATACTCCCCAGAAAATGTTTGAAATTTGAAGCCCTGAAATGCAATTTCCTGCATTCTGAGCATCCAAATTTGCTCTAAAATTCATGCTAACTATACTTGTATTTGAAATAAAAGAAGGAAAAAATGCACAAAAAGTAAAAAAGATATTAACCATTATTTATCATTACTTATTAGATGGGGATAGCAATGGCTGAAGGCCACATGTGTGGGGGCATACTCCCCCAGAAAATTTTTGAAATTTGAAGGGGTCAGTCGACTGGGAGGGGAGCGTTTGCCCCTCAGCTAGCTGTATGTTAAAAATGGCCCTGGATTTTGTATGTGCTTTTATAGACAAATGAGTATGATTGTGTAAAGGCTGCTTTAGCAGAAGTTTAACCGAAATGTCTAGAAACACTAAGACAAAAAATGCTCAATGTTTCTGCAATCTTCATAATCTTTGCCATAAGCCATCATCATTCATATACAGGTGTTCTTCATATATGGCAAAGCATATTAAAAGCAATTAATATTGGCGTTAATATATTCAATTTATCATTGTAGACCACGGTTCTTATCAACTTTGATGAGAGTTATATGTTTTGCCCGAATGACACATGGATTTCTGCTCAATTGCCCGACCGTAAAAATTTTGAGGGGCATGTTCCCCTCCCCCCCGGCCGATACGCCTATGGATAGGTGAAAAATTGAATTGTGGTGAATTATGACCTTCAAATAATGACAATTTACATTTTTTTAATGTCTTTATGTGCTTGAAGGATATGTTTGATCACTTTGATGGACTTTCCTATACCCGTATTAGACAAGGGCAGCAGGTGGGAGGGTAGATGACCCCCAAATATTTGGAGAATGAAGGAAATTTGAACAAAGACTAGGACATAATTTAAATTCAGGTTATATAATTAATATTACATGAAAATTTGTTACCCTTCCCAGAATGGTCAGCACTTATGAATGTGCCCCTACTTTGCTTGGTCAGCCCAAATGTCAAAATAATACATTGTTACTGACAAAGGGCAAATTCTTGTAAAAAGAACATACTGTACTGTACATTGTAAGCAGGGTTAGTAAGAAATTTTGCAAATTTAAATAAACCATTAAAAATCAGTTAATTTGTGTCTTAACCCATTGAATGGCAGCACTCTCCCCCCTGATGAGTGAAATCATCTGGCATTAGACAGAGTAAAATAATAAAGTAGGGTGCATTGCCACTTAAAGGGTTAACAGGGTGCATGGGCAGATAGTCTGATTAACCCATTGAGTGGCAGCACTCTCCCTCTGATGAATAAAATCGTCTGGCATTATATTGTCTAATGAGTAAAATAATAAAGTAGGGTGCATCTGGGCACATTGCAAGTAAGGGTAAGCAAATTGGCTTTTGAACAACTGGCCACAGGTGGAACAACTTAATTTTACTTTTATACTACTTGTTTTTCCTTTTTCTTCTGGGCTGGTATCTCAACTTGAATGCCATTTAATCTGTACCCACACCAATTTTTGGGACCCGAATTTATAAGGGGATGCTGAACTCTTAGCTTGGTTAACCCTTTAAGTGGGTTAACCTAAATAGTAAAATTCAAATCAATCATCATAACAAGTTTGTGCCAGTGTTGGTAGTGATGATAACATGCTTCGAATAGAGAGAGATTCAACTACCTGAATAAAATATTAGAGTTATAACTTTGACATTTCAAGTGAAGGCCCTTTGTCTGGTCCAAGTTAGTAGCTGATGGCCTTCACTTCAAATAAAATGTCAACGTTTTGCTTGTATTTTTCATGTAGTTGAATCCCTCTATCTCCATCCAAAGCTTTCTCAAGCTTCCTAACAGTTGGTTTATAACTTTGGAAATATTTCTTCAGAGATATTGTTTGGATCAGAAGTTTTCTTCTCTGAAGTTTTGAAAGAAATAGATCTGCATAGCAGGTTAAATTTTAACAAAGGGTTAGCACTAATCCAGCTTTGTAAATTTGCCCCTGATGGATTAGAATGGACGGCCATGTTCAAATGTAGACTCTCTAGTTTGGGGATATATAATACATTCTGAAAATTATGAAAATATTGCACAATATGAACACATTTAAAATGACCTATCTATTATTATTAAATATTCGTTCAAAATCAGAAGGATTATTTTATTACAATCCACTTAAACGATATCAGTTAATAAAAAAGTAAACTTTATCTTGTGACAACAGTATTTATCTTGGGTCTTGAATTATTCAAATCCATACAATATTTACCACGAAACTTGAGTGTGAAACTTGAGTCTTGAATTTTTCGACTACACTTCAATTGCATTGAGTAATCCTCCATAATTTAATATAAATATCAACATTGTTATTAACATTGCGATTCATTCGTTCATCCCATTGAATTAAACACTTTATGAACTCGAATACTATTAATTATGTATTTATTTAAAGTGATACGTGACTACATTGACTGTTTGATCAAAACATTCCCTCATATAAACGAACATCCCTTTTTTGTTTATATAGGTTTTTAAGCCCACAAAATATCCATGCAAATAAGCATTTCATTGGTCGCTTATATACAAATGTATTACGTCACTGAAATAGAATTCTCTCTCAGGTTCGCAGACTGTGTCTCGTCTCGGGGGAGCGAAACACTGTCTGCGTTAATAAGGCTACACAATAACATGCTGCTGATACTTTGTGGTACATTACATGAGAATACAAAAAACCCTGCGTATAATTGCACCTATCAATGTCAAGCCCCAGAGGGGGGTGGGCATATGTTGGGTACCTGATCATCATTGCATCCCCACTCTGGGGATTTTGATTAGCATTTTGGGCCTGAGTTAGGGCAATTTGAACCAAAATGACTTTTATTAATATAGTATTTATTGCAATTTATTGCAAAATGGTGGGGTGTTTGACCAATATTTATTACCTAACAGTGGGGCATTTGATTGAAAATTTACTCAAAAAATCAAATGCCGACATATGTCCGACCCCACCCCCTCTTGGGCTTAACATTGAAAGAATCACCATTTCTCAAACTTTATCTGAATTACTGTAGTTGTGTAACATCATTACAGACATTACAAAATACTGTTAAAAAAAGGCCAAGTGGGCCTTCGCTGCTATAAAGGGCATTCTATCCAATGACATCAGACCAACATCTCCATGGTGTTGCAGCTGTTCTCCAAAGCATCTAGCAGCGTGATAAATCAGATTGTCTTTTTGACCTGCATGAAGTACAGACATAGCGTTGGCAACAAGTGGGAGAAAATTGTGAGGGACAAATTTAGCATCTAAACCAGGGTTAACTTTTACCAGCCATGTTTAAAACAGGTGGATGAGTAGTTGTTCTGGTTGTCGCTGGGTTAGTTTTGAAAATCCAGAAGTCATCATACCAATAACATATTAACCAGAAAAGTGGACAAGGTTTTGGTCACTCGATGGAGAGACAATCATAACATCGGAGATCGTGCAGATGTAGAAGGTATGTACAGATTGGAAGGACCGATTTTACCTCCAAATTTAATGATGCTTAATTCTTGCAGACAAATCATTGACAAAAATAGAATCCAGCCAAAACCACGAATCTAAAACATCAGCCAAACAATAAATTTCACTTATAAAATATTGTTACGGAAGGGCTTTAATTATTTACACACTTTAACTGCAATATATACAATCCATAATATATTGAAACTTCTATAATATATCACACTTCTTTAGAAAAAAGCGAGTAATAGCAATTCATTATCGATCTGAGTGACAAGGCAACATATTTTACAGAGGGCTATATTCAACAGTGAATATCTCGAAAACGGTTGCGGGACCGAGGGGGGCCGACTGGATAGAATTAAAGATTATACTTTTGTTTAACTAATCGTGAAAAAAATAGCGAAATCGAACCGTGGGAATTTGAGATTTTTGTCTTCAAAGATTGTTGACAGAAAGCCATTAAATTACATCGCGACGGCATAGCGCCTAAAGTGAGAGGTCATAATAACGCTTACCTTTCAAGATACCGTTCGAATGGGGTTTCACTGTTGGTAAATTCACTGTTGTAAAAGTAGTATTGTGTGAAATTTCCAAAAAAATGTTCATAACAGTATGAAAAAAGTCGATATTTATGAGCCCTATGTAAATTTTCGATGCCAAAAGCTTCATGCGAGCATGAGGAAAATGACGAAATCCGATTGGTCGAGAGATTCGCCTAATTAGCTGTCCAACCTCCTCTGGTCTGAAATCATTGCCCCTATTATTTAATATAAATAATATATATATATATATATTAATATATATATTTAAGAAATTTCTGTGTTTCTATACAGTTATAGAAACACGCATGCTAGTTTGGGAGAACGAGAAATAATCAGTGGGAACACGAGCACGTAGCACAAGCATAGTTCTATTTCCTTTATTAAATAACCTTGTGATAATAACATAAAAACAATATTTTTAACGCAATTAAAAAGTATATTCTCATTACACAATAACAAGAAAATGTTGCCTAGTAAACAATACCGGCACCAATTCTCAGTTTTGCCAACTGCAAAATTATGGGGAAAAAACGTTTGGAAGTGTTTTCCATTGCTTGTGTAACAAAATTTCAGGTTGACGAAGATTTTTAATCTATATTTATTTATATATAAGATATAATAGATTGGGCAAATCTCGCCATGGTAAAGTCAAGAAATGTACCAGTGAAAACCTCACTGTAAACGAGATATTTATTCCAAGTGAAAGGAGTAAGAGGTAGCCAGCTTTTGTAAGCGTTAAATTGCCAATTCATGACTGCAAACGACACAACAAACGCAAATACAACAAAGGACATCCCAGAAAATTGACTGTTCGTGAAGAGCGAAACTTGGTGAGAGAGTTGCAGAAATTAAAAGCAACAATCGGGTTGTTTTCTGCATCCAGACTTCGAACACCAGCGGGTGTACCTCCTGACGTTTTACTCTGGACCATTCGAAGAAGCCTTCAAATTCACAGGTAGGTATTCTTACTTGTGTTCCCACAAGAAAGGACTTTTGAAACAAAGGGATCTAGGATGCCGATATCGATTCGCTTGATCACTTCTTGGAATGCAGTATCATCTTCTACTTTGATGCGCTGTCTTTTGTTCACAAAACCAATCCTTTTGATCAGGCACGAGCTTGCAAATCAATGGCATGGAGAAAAGGAGGTGAAGGTCTTGCTCTTAATTGCACAAGTAAAGAAAAAAGCCGGTGTGGAAGGGAAAACGGGACATTTCTTTGCGTCTGTCAGGTATGGAAAAAGAGTGATAGCTTGCAATCAGTTCCCTGAATGCTTAACTGGAGTAATTTGAAGACTATGTTTGCAAACACTTCCCACAAATATTTTCCAAGAGTGTGAATCCCATTGCCAGGGATTTCCTTCAGGACAGTGAATTAATCCCATTGAAAACCTTTTTCATTTAGTATCAAGACAGCTAACGAAAGAAGCTCTAGACGTGGAGATAACAAGTGAAAACTTTGGACAGTTTTCGCCGAGAGTAAAAAAGACGATGAAAAACTTTCCTATAAGTATGATCAACAACATCATTATGTCCATAAGCAAACACGTTACGATTATCAAGAAACAAGGAGAAAGACTTAAGTACTAACAGCTTTCGAAAACGTTTACCGCCATGAGCGGTCAATTTCAATTCAGTCTATAGTATTGATATTAAATACATTTATTAGTAAAACGAAACATATTTCTTATACATGCTTGTACATGTCTATCACAGTTCATTCTTGTCATTATGCAATTGTTTTCACATGGAAAAGGAATTATTGGCATACCAATGAAGATTTTGTTGCTTCCTGAGCTTAGGATATATAAATAGACGAACTTGACATGGGGACACATGGGTATTTTCCCCGTAATTTTCTGATCACATGAATGTAATGCGTGGAGGAAAACGGAAGGGAGAGGTGATACTTATCTATAGCAGAATGCGCATCTAGTTCATTCTGCTCTTCGCTTTGGTAGCGCAAAGTCGTCTGTATTTTAAAGTCAAGTTTTCCATCAGGTAAATTTTCTTTCATTTTATATCTTAAAGCATAATGTCTGGATGTGTTCCAACTATTTTACTTCTCGGGCATTCCTTTGTCTGTCGTTTATGGGACGACTTGGAAGTGCACTTGGATTTCGCGCTGCCCCAAATTTTCATCTACGCAAATCGGGCAATGTTTCTTTGTTGGGTACGGGTGGCAGAACCGTAGATGAAGTGCTTAAATATGATCTCTCATGGGTCAAAAAGTATAAGCCTAATATTGTGATTCTTGAAATGGGCACTGACGATTTGTCGGGTCACACCCGAGGTAGTGGGGTCGAAACTCGATGATCTTGTGCACATTCTGTGTGATCAGTATAAAGTTTGCCTTGTTGCTGTGTGCCAAGTGATTAATCGGAATCTGCCCCACACTCGGGCACCTGATAATGTGTTTATTACCAAAACCCGCTCTTTTACGCCAGTACTGGTCTGTTGTCCTTGCTGAGGAACAAGGCATTTTTTTATGGGAACATAGGGAGTTTTCTCACCCTGATTGTCTCTTGTTGTCCTCAGATGGTGTGCACTGTAATGCACAGGGACAGTACTGGTTATACCGTAGCTATTGTGGGGCCATCTTGAAAGCTCTCACCATGTTATAGTCCTTAGCTCAAATATGTGTTCAATTTATGCCTTTGTTACAGACATTATTATTGCATAATTGTTTGATAATTATGGTGCATTATATTATATACTCTTATATTTTACCCCTATGTATGTGGTTGCCGTTTATGTACCACTACTATATGTTTATGTTATATGGGCTAGAGCAACAGGACTGTTTTCAGATGCCCACATTGAGACTTCAACATTGGGTTTTTTCTACACAGGACATATTCATGATTTGAGCTGGTTATATATACGTATAATTTGCAGCTTCTTCAATAGTTTATGTATCTGTTTTGTCTCATGTAGTACTCATGTGTGTGGAGTGTTCTTGTAGTTTCCTTGTGTTGTATATAAATGTCTTTTCTATAGTATACGTATATATGACTTGCCCCTCCTGTGGCAAGGAAAAAATGCATAGATAGAGGAATTATTGTTTTCAGATGCCCACAGAGTTGTCGTCAATATATTGTGGGACGTTGCGGCATGTTGTTTTCAGATTGCCCTTGTATATTTTTTTTGCGGCATTAAAGGATAATCCATTGCGACTACCTTTGCTGTATGCCATGATTATTCTACTGCTTATGTTGTTTTATTTGTCACAGTTGCATGAATATGTAAATAGTTGTGCAATATGATGTCTGTTATTTTCGAAAATTCCTCTTGTCTAATATTCCAGGGCCTGATCTGGCTCCCATTAATTAAGCAAAGTCTGCCCTGTCTTTGGTCTTTAGATTTTTTCTTTCAGAATGCCTGCTATTAGGCCTGGCTCAAGAGTTCAGTGCCGTCCACCACTATGCAGCAACAAGACCACCACTATGCAGCAACAAGAGGCAAGTGGAGTCAGTTGTGAGGCGTCTTCCTCTGTGGCCACAACATCAGCACCTGATGCAGCATCGCCAGCGACAACTGTTCCTGATGAAACGGTTCAACGGATCGTCTCTGCCATCTCCAAAGCTGTGCTAGCGTTACTCAAAGAAGCCTGTGCCACCACTCTTCTGCCGCCATCTTTAGCTGTGGAAACAAGGGAATTGCTACTATGCAGGGGCCGGTAGCATCTGCCTTAAATAATCTTTCAGGCGAGACTAGTTTTATCCAAGTCTCACCGCCTGTAGAGCCAGGTCTGCCTAAATTTAATTCCATCAATGTACCCATTGATGTGAATGTGAGGGCAAAAGTTAAGGCCAAGATCTGGTCTCACAAATTCATCGATTTTGGTGTTTTAATTAGCACAGGGGCAGGTGATACCCTGTATCACTTGTCTGTGAGCTCCCAAAACGGTTCAGCTTTGCCTATGTTGTCTTTGGAACAGTCTCAAAAGCCATTGCTAACATTGGTGCATGGACTTTGACTTTTCAATTTTTTGTAGGGGTGTACACTGCCAAATATCCAATGGAGGCCCCAGCATTGATGAAATATAGTGAAGTTGTCCTCACAGCACACCTCTGCCCCGACCTCGGCCAAATCTCATCCTTCCAACACTGGTTCAAATTGATAATCTTCAACCTTTATTATGTGGATACGATCCGGGATTGACATCTATTTTGTATACTGGTTTTAAGTTTGGTTTTTCTCTTCATTTTGAAGGAACGCGTACTCATTTTAAATAATCTAATTTCTGCACAACAAAATCCTGAGATAGTGCTAAACTCTTGAAAGAATTGGCAGCTGGTTGACTTGCCGGGCCTTTCGATTGCCCGCCTTTTCCCAAATTTTGTGTTTCACCCTTGGGGGTTGCTCCTAAGAAAGCCCTAGGGGAATATCGCTTAATTCATCATTTGTCTTTTCCCAGAGGTGATTCGGTTAATGACGGGATTGCCCAAGAGCATGCGTCAGTGCAGTATGCACATGATGATGATCAAACAATTAGGTTGTGGTTGTTTTCTTGCCAAAACGGTGCAATCTCGAGAGTGCAATTTTGCATTATCCCAATCAAACCATCTGATTACGATCTTTTGCAGGGACAGTAGTATAATGATCGTGCTATGCCAATGGGATGTGCATCATCCTGTCGTACTTTTGAGATGTTTAGCAGTGCTATCGAATGGGTTGCTAAGAAACACTTGTCGATCCCATATTTAATCCAAAATTACTTTACGCGAGATTCAATCATTGACGGGGTTTACTTAATTTTGCGTGCCAAGTCATTGGGTCAGGCTTTTTTGCATCATCTGATCGATTTAACGAAGGGAATAAAATCTTTTCATTATTTTATCTGTCTTACCAAATCGGTAAAAGAGGACCTCGAAATTTGGCATTCCTTTTTAGATGATTTTAACGGCGATCATTTTTCTTAGAGACATATGGACTGATTCGTTCAGTTTAAATCTCTACACTGATTGAGCTGGTAGTTTGGGTTACGGTGCAGTCTTTGGCTGCAAGTGGCTTTTTGACCAGTGGCCTGAAAATTGGAAGCGACATAATATCACTATTTTAGAATTCTACCCAATTGTACTCATTGTTCTTGTATGGGGAGATAAGATGTGCAACAAGCGGATCACGCTTTATACGGATAATGTGGCGTTGGTTGATATTATAAATAAAGACACTTCTCATGACGCGACTGTCATGTTCACTGACTGGTGCTGGCATGTTTGAAGTACAATATTTTATTTTGTGCTCACCATGTTCCGGGAGTTAAAAACGTTTTAGCTGATAGATTATCCTGGTTTTGAAGTTCAAACAGCTAGCTCCGGTGGGTGTACAACCATCACCAGCAGTCATACCAGATCAACTACTACCACACAACTGGCCAATATAACATCTAAATTACTTCAATCTAGTTTACAGCCATCATCAATCCCTTCTTATCGCTGGGCCTGGAACCTGTATAGCCAGTTTTCAAATGTAGTTTTTCATACAGCTTTAGTAAATTTGCCCATATCATCTTCTAATTTAGGTTTGTTTATAGCCTACACGTTTCAGCACAATTATGCTGCTTCAACTGCGAACACATGTCTCTGCACTGTGTTATTATCATCGCCTTGTAGGCGTGCCATACCCCACTAAGGTCTTTTGGGTGATTGAAAGGGTATGGCAAACTTGGGTCGCGCTTGGATACACGCATGCCCATAACTCTTTCTATCCTTCGCACGGTGGGTTAGGTTAAAACGCCAATTTCTCCATGAAGGAAGCCTTATTTCGTTGAGGACACAGTAATGAAAGTTGCTTAGAATCATAAGAACTACCATATAGAGCAAAAGATTTTTGTTCATGTTTTTTGCATCTCCTCTGAGCTTATACTATGCATGTGGTGAGCGGATCGATAGAGCCAACAAGGGGCATTATAAAAAGTGGAATGTCTACACAAAAATTGTTAAAAAAAAATTCGAAAAAATAATTGAAAACATTTTTGTAAATCACCTGTTATCCCCCATATGACCCCCTAAAACCATCAAAGTGCCTCCTGTCCTCTTATGCAACTGGAAATATGTGTCATTAAAAAAACGTTTGCTGAAAATAATTAATTTCAACCCTCCCAAAGGTAAGTTTGTTATAATTTTTCATCATTATATGCTTTTAAATAACCCAAGTCGCTAATGGAATGGTTTATCCAATTTCCTGTAATTTAATATTAAAAAATGCACCTCTGACCCTTTAATGAAAAATTTTAAAATCCTAAAATATTGTTTTTCTTTAATAGATGGCAGATTTCATCATTGGTGAAGATAATCCAGATTTCCTTGAAACAAATATGGAACCTGAAGACAGACATAGACCATGTGGCAATTAACTTACCTTTGGCTGAACAGAGGAAGTAGTTAAGTCCTTTGTTGGCAACACGGTACAGCTGGCAACGCACAAGGGTCGATCCTGGCACACAGAGAGAACTGGAACTTTATGGTCCTGTCATGGAATCCTTGCATCATACTAACATTGCTATGCAAAATTGTGTGACAGCAGTTGTGCTGTTACTTCACAACCATGGAAAAGTTGTATTGCCTGCTGCAGACAATGCCACCCATACCATAACTGGACACCCGAAACCTATCCCAACACCCACATTCATCGCCGCCCTCCATGACGCAGGTGTTCGTTACATAAGGCTAATAAACTTTGGCATGAAGCAACCCCTAAACCTCCTCCCTCCATTACCTAGAGACCTCCTTTGCCAAGCAACCAACAACGGCTATCCCGAGAACGAGTATGATGTGTCTGTTTCCCACCGCCATCCCTTCCTTTACCTTGTTAAGCCCATTGCATGGTAACTACTCTGAAAGTTTCTCACTCCCTCATAGTGTTCCTCAATGCTCTTGTCTCGGTCTGTTGCTTTTCACAATCTACACAAGCAAGCTATTCGAAATAGTTAAATGCCACCTGCCAGACGTGCATGCATATATGCTGATGATACTCAATTATACCTTTCTTTTAAGCAGGACAGTGCTACTAATGAGCTTGATGTAATATGTGCACTACAGAATTGTATCAAGGATATCAGGACTTGGATGACAGTTGATAAGCTTAAACTAAATAATGGGAAGACAGAGTTTTTAATAATTGGAACTGCTGCTCAGCTCAAAAAGGTTAATATCTCTAGTATTGTCATTGGTCAAGATAATGTTCCAGTAGTATTGTGTGCCAGAAATCTTGGAGTATGGTTTGATAACAACCTTAATATGTCACATATAAATAAGACTTGTCAATCCGCATTATATCATCTTCATAACATTAGATGTGTTCGAAAGTTTTTAAGCTATGAAGATAGAAAGTCTGTGGTACAAGCACTAATAATGTCAAGGATAGACTACTGCAACAGTCTTCTATTTGGTGTCACAGATGTACATCTGTCTAAACTACAACGGCTACAAAATACAGCAACACGTCTTATCTGTTCTATCCCTAAACATGATCAAATCACTCCGACTCTCATCAAACTACACTGGCTTCCCGTTCGATTAAGGATCAAGTTCAAAATTGCCATGCTTGCTTTTAAATGTATCCATCAGTATGCACCTCTCTATCTTGTCAATCTTTTAAAAGTAAGAAATACATTGTGCTATAGTCCAAGATCTAACAATGGCACATTGCTTGAAGACTATAGTACAAAAACAAAGAATACACTTGGTGACAGAGCATTTGTAACCAATGCTCCAAAAATCTGGAATTAATTACTTATGTATATAAGAAATCTGCATAAGTTTAGTATTTTCAAAAAATTAGTTAAGAGTTATTATTTTGAAGTAGCCTTTAATGTATAAATACTTCATGTAACATATAATCTTGTTTATATTTTTAGTTAGTAACCATTCAGCATAGAATAATTTCAGTGTAATTATGTTTTGTTATGTGCATTTGATCATATACTATAACATGTTAATTTGCACAATATAAATATTAAATATTATATTATTATTATTGCAACAAACCTCAACCATATGTGTGAGCAAATACCGTGCGTGTATGTTTAAAGCAATGTGTACAATGGCATTTCTTGCCTTTTTACGTGTTGGAGAAATCACTTGTTGTCCCAGGTCATTGAGCGTGCCTCAGTTAAATCAAATTGTCCAACTTGTTGACCATTCAGGCAGCGTAATCGGACTGAAAACCACATTTTTCATTTTAAGCATTCTTACAACCATACCAATGTATCACTCTTAAGCGCCGTTCAGATATATGCCCCGTGCAGAGCTTACTGGATTATTTTTCACATCAGGGTTTGTTGGATGGCCTGCTTTTTTGAAAGCACGAGGGCCACACAGTTTCGCGCAAACTTTTTACTGACTCATTTTCAAGACACGTGGTCTTGATCCAACTAAATACAAAGGACATAGTTTCCGCATTGGTGCGGCAACATTGGCTGCGGAATGCAGTTTTGCTGATGCCCAAATTCAATCAACGGGTTGGTGGAAATCCAAAGCCTTTTGTAAGTATATTCGAGGTCCAGGCCTGTGCTCAATCGCTTTGCCTAAATAGGCAGAGTTTTTTCACTGGATTGATCATGGCTGTCAATAAGCATTTATTTTGGCAAACTCTGCTTCCATTCACATCTGACTGGTCAAGTTGATGCAGGGGCAAGACTTGATACAATGATTATTTTGATTATTATGATGCACATCACTATATGCGACATACCGCTTTCGAGTGTTCTGTGATGCTGACACAGTGGCAAAGCTATCAGAACACTTTTGTCTTGTCGGTGGCAGTTATACCTGGCAGTTCAACGCAGGGGCACAAATTGTTTGGGTATAGCTAACATCCCTTTTATATTACAAGCAGTTTAATTAATACACATTTGCCAATACTATCACTCAATTTTGTAGAATTGTTGCTTGCTTGTTTCATCGGTCTGTAATCACTTATCTGTCGATGCCTTGTCACACTGGGGTGGGGTATGTCTCCTTTACCCAAGTAGACTTGTGGCGTTTTTATTACCTCCACCTTTTCTGTGCTAACTGTTAACAAATTACTTTGGTCAATAATTTGTTACGTTAAACTTATGTCATTGATTACAAAATTAATAAACAGGCATGTGCCTTATGCAATACGCACATTGCCATAATTATTCCAAGTGGTGTCTGACTCGTTTATTGCATAAAGAGAATGCACAGAAAACAGAGCTCATCGTGACAAGATATCCCCCAGATATATAATGGAAATTGAACTGAGTGGAGTGCAATTTGGACTAAAATCAAACGTGTGATTACAAAATCGCACGACCTCGAAGCAGGAGTGCGATTTGTAGTCACAAGTTTGATTTCAGTCCAAAATTGCACGACACGAAGTTCAATTTCCACTTTTTTATATTCATTTTGAAATCTTAAATATTTTTGTAAACAGGAAACTTTTTTTTGCAAAAGACACACCTCGGGCACCTCTCTGAGTGCTGTAGCATAGCAACAGTAAGCGAACAAGACGAAAAGTTTTGTTTATAAATATGTTCAAATACTGCAAAAAATCTTAAAGAAATGAAGACATTGATTGATAAAGAATAAGAGACAACACAAGTAAGTTTAAACATATTGTAGGTCTTACGGGTGATTGGAAGAGTTTTGGTGCAGTTTTGTGCGTTTAAAATTGGAAATACGATAGGCAAATTTACCTTTGTTTTCCCGGAGTCCTGTCTGTCCTGACGCTCCAAATTTGCTTTTGTTGGCATTTTTGCCAGTTACTATATTTGTGAAATTTCAAAAGAATTAAAATTCTTTGCAATTCTTTGATAGTTTACTGTAGTTATCCATATTTTTTTTTTGTTTTTATGTGCAAAAAATTGTTTAGGCACTCAAGAGTATTAAATCGTGACATGTAAATTTTTTGTTTTTGCTCATTTGCCATATCACATTTTTCTTAAAATTCATTGGCTGTTTGAATCCTATGATTAAATATGATTGGTTGGCTGAAGTCAGAACTCTAATGTGATTGGTTGAAAGAAGGTGTGATTTCAGCATGAATCACACTGCTAGGAGTGCGATTTGTGCTGAAATCGCACACCTGTGAACCAATCAGATTGCAGGAAACACCATTGATTTCAAATTGAATATAATAAAGTGTTAAAGGAAGCAATAAAAACAACTATAGCAAGGAAAACATAAAACTCGATTTGTACACATTACACCACACGTTAGACATCTGACTATGCAAAATATATAATTCAACATGTTACACATGTTACACCAAATATTTATTAAAAAATAATATATTGTTTATTTTTTTTTAAATGTAGTGTAACATATGTACCATGTCATTTTACCAATGTATTTTATACTATCCGAAGTGTAACATGTAGTGTAACATGTACGTAACATGTGTGTAACATGTAGTGTTATTTGTTTGAGTTTTTAACATTCAAGATACATCAATATACACTATATTTAATTCATCAACAAGAACTAGTTTAAAAATCCTCATCCAACAACACTAGCTCTCTAAAGCAACCTGGGCATGGCACAAGATTCTTTTGCTCTTCTGGGATTGTGTGGTTCAGCTGAAATACTCTCCACCTCACAGACATCATTTCTGTTTCTCTTTCGTCAATTCTACCATTTCTACTGTAGTAAACGATTGGACCACTGCTTGTAGCAAAAATTGAGATGTCACTGTCGATACATACATCGCTTGAGTATTGATTCTTGGGTGCAGGGAGGTGAACGATGTGGCTTCAAGAAGGAAGAGGAAATCTTTCCATGTGATCAGAGCAGAATTACAGCAAAACTTGTTGAGATATATGACTTCATGTTCCTCAGCTCCTACCCAGGCATATTTGTCAATAGCAGGATTGACAAATGTCTTGAACAACACACACAAAGGATTTAGGAGGAAGGACTTTCCACTATTGGCGCAACCAACCAACATTACATTTTGGAACTTGCCCCTCCCTTTCATCAAAACATCTTTGATGGCCGACCCAAATACAAATATTGGGTGAATATTGCTCTTCTTCAGAACCTCTAGTGCACAATTGATCCATTGTAAGTCACAACCCGCAACACATTCTGATGAATGAGCTTCGCGAACCAACTGCATTCTGGGTTTTCCCCCCAATCTACATGACTATCCAAAAAGTTTAGAACCACATCGTGTTTTTTCATCATATTATTCTTCAAACTCTTCCAGCATTTAGGGCCATTTAATTTGACACAGAGATGGTAGTGAACACCCGATGTATCTTCATGCAGTTCTAGACAGCAAGCGCAGTGTTCAACAGAGGCTTTTGTTGTTGATTTCTTGTTGAAGTTTTTTTATTATTATTATTAGTTTAATAAAATCGTATCGCAGTACAAACTGAATTGCACAATTATAACTAGATAAAATATATAAATAGAGTCACAATGTTAAAATTATATCAAGGGTTGCCAATTATCTACATTTAAAAAGCCTGTTAATTATGGTTAGTTGAAGGACAACGATAAAATATGCTATAATGTTCCATAGTCTATAGTTCAAAAATACGTCAAGTGTAAAATTACAAATTGTACTTAATTGTAACAAAGTTGTGAAACCGTTCATTAAATATAAGCGGTGCAGGAGGATTGCTGTTTCGCAGGCAATAGTCATGGACGGGTTTGTACGGTGTTTCTTTAAGAATGTTTACCAGCGGGTTGCGGAAGGTTGACTTGTGACCCTTTAACTTCTGAACGAACGACTTCCAGGCATCGTGTCTGTGACCAATTAATGTATCAAATCCGGTAGTATCCAGTACATCGGCATATGACAAGTCAGGATAGATGATTTTAAGAGCAAGACGTCGAATCAACTCAGTTTCATTGGACAACATGGATGACAACGTAGCCCACGACGGTGTCGCATATTCCAAAAGTGAACATATAAAAGAGCAATAAACTGTTGCCAAATCAGATTGCTTCAGACCAGCTTTACGTAACTTGTGGAGGGAATATAATCGCGAATTTGCCTTTTTTATTGTATAATCGGCATGTAAATTCCATGTAAGATCATTAGACAAGTGGACACCAAGTAGTTTAAGTGAAGATACTAATTCGACGGGAACTCCCGAGATGTAAATAGGACTAAAACAAATGTGGTTGCATTTCAAGAAAGTAATGATCATTTCCTTACATTTCTTGGGATTGAGATCCATTCCTCTTTTTGAAGCAAACTGGGAGATATCATTTACCACTATGGGTAGTATGTTTCGTCTATTTAAATGAGGCACACAATATCTTAAACAGTATCGTAATAAGGTTTCAAACCTACGAACAAAATATGAATTTACATAAATAATTACCCCTAATCCCACATTACAACAGGCCAAATGACGCATTATTTAACGTACTTACACTATGGGTTCTCATAAGTCCAAGTCATGTATATATGTCTCGCCGGAGACAGCTTCCACAGTTCTCAACGGAGAATAAACCAGTCCAAACAGTTCTCAACGGAGATATAAATTTCAACCTACAAGCTAGCATGCATACCAAAACTAATTAA